GCTATGATTGGTAGCTATGTCTTTAAAAAAATTATTATTATTTAATAAATGGGCTTAGTAGAGAAAATGCTTTACAATGAGACGTCCATTGAGGAAGAAGAGTGAAAATATCTCTGGTGATACAGAAGTGGGAAGCCACAGGTAGAACTCGTAAGGCCCCAACCTGCAGGTTAGGACTTGCCACCCACCTTTGGCCTGATGTAAAAAGAGCAGAAACACTAGAAGGAAAGTTCTAATTCAGTGCTGTTAATTCCTTCCTGACAAGCAGCAGGACACACTTAGAACAAGGGTCTCATTACAGAGAATTGCAGCCAAAACAATGAAGTTTTCCACCCTCCAGATTTCCATTCAGACAAGCAGGAACAGAAACCATTCTTGGGAGTACCCCCTCACAAGCTTGGGTTTTAGATGATGGAAACAGTTTTTCTGATCAGCACACATGAACTGAGAGGTTGGGCAGATTCACACATTCATCCTCAAAGCCATGAGCCATAAAGAGAGCAAAATCAATGCACAGTCTATATTTCAGGGCCCCCATGACCAAGGTCACATAATATGGGGGCAACACAACCTTAAATACCATAATAATTTCCAGAGAGACTGAATAGTATCTATATTTAGCTGATTTGAGCTTGAGCAGGTTTAAGGAACTAAACTTTCTGTCATGATATGTTAGTTTACATCCCTTTTCCTGTCTCTCTTTTAAAAAAAATATATATTTTATTGATTTTCTTACAGAGAGGAAGGGAGAAAGCTAGAGAGTTAGAAACATCGATGAGAGAGAAACATCAATCAGCTGCCTCCTGCTCACCCCCTACTGGGATGTGCCCACAACCAAGGTACATGCCCTTGACCGGAATCGAACAGGGAACCTTTAGTCCGCAGGCCAACGCTCTATCCACTGAGCCAAACCAGCTAGGGCTCTTTTCCTGTCTCTTAATCAACTCTTAAATGTACCTCCTCTCATCCCAGACTCTGAAGGTTCCGCTGTCTCTTCTCCCCTTCCCTTTAACACTATTACAAAGGGAGTAACTACTAGGACTGAAGATATCTTCCAGCTTACTTTAATTAAGCACTGACCCCATCTGGCTCAAATCACTCACCCTTTACTCTCCTGCTACCAACCACCATCCTGAACAACTGGGATAAAGAAAAACATCTCCATTCTCTTTGCTAAGAAATTCCTTTCCACTGCAATGTCCTCAATGGAAAGAGTGGGGAGTCAGGACAATTCAATTACTTTTGTGACTGTGGTGGGCAGGACACTTCCATCTCTTGGGGCCTCTACTGAAGGTTGAGAGCTGGACGTATCAGAGATTTTCAAATGGTCTTCATGGAGTCCTGTAAGTGATTGCTTTGAGTGCGCCTTCCCCCTCCCCACCCCTTTAATCAGAGCAGCTCTGAGCTTTTACTTTATATATATGTTCTCATTACTTTAAGACAAGGTTCCTCAGATTTTAAGAGTTTGAAAATTGCTTAGCATAGGGCAGTTGGCACATAGAAGGCGCTCAAATCCTTTAATGAATGAGTGAAAACCAAAGGGACTGAGGTGGTCTCTAAGATCCCTTCCAGCTCTGACCTCCCATGGCTGCTTAACATGAATTAGAGTCAAGTGCTGCCCCTCTACCTGCCTATGAATATACTGAGATTTCTTGTTCCTTCATTTTGAGGGAATCATGCCCAAAACTGATTCTAGAAAATAATTTCCTGATCACTGAGTACAAGGATTCAAAAAATTGATCTCTGGCAAGTAGAAAAAAGAATATAGTTTAATGGCTATTCAAGTCTATGTTTTTGCAGTAGAAGAGTCCAAACGTAAGAAAAATACCAAAATAACAGGTTAATAATAACATCACATTTCCTTTAAAAACAACTGAAACATAAGTAAAAGGGCCAAAATATATCCTATATCCCTTAAAAATTCTTCTGAACACCACTACAGACATCCCAGTTTCTAGGCAACGAATCAAAATGACGTTGACTTACTCTGTGATTTTGGGGTCCAGGTTGCCAATCCATAGCCGGTGCCCTTCCTGTAGGGAACCCTCTGACAGGATGGATGCGTTCTCCAGGGGAAGAGTTTTGGTTTCTGCTTCCATCAATCTCTATTAAATACTAAAGGAAACGTGAACATTCAGGCAGGAGAAAAGCAACACTGTGTGAACATGAGACTTCAAATTTAGTTCCACAAACATTTATTCAAGGAGGGAATGCCCTGGGCAGTCCTTCAAAGGCCTCGTTCTTCCACAACCAGGGCCCCAGCACCAGTTCCCTTGGGACAGCGCCTCTGGCAGCCAGAAAGTAAAAGCTTCCATTTAAAGGGAAAGGGGTGTGGTTCTGTGTGTAGAAACTCAAGTTTTCCTCTTCTGAAGCCAGAGGCTGACTGGGCAGGAGGCCAAAGCCTCTCTTACTACACGACACTCCAGTTTAACAATTATAACCCAACGCAAGCCTTGGACACCACGAGACAGAAAGTTTTAATGACAATGAAGAAGATGGGTAAGGCAGAGCAAAAGTATACCTCTTCCCCGTGAAAGAGGCAATACAGGAAATTAAAGGCCATAGATTTTGGAGTTAGAACTGAGTTTGCAAGCAGGTTATATGACTTAATAAATTACCTAAACATTATAGGCCTTCATTTCTTCATATAAATGAAAAGAACAGTTCTTATCTTATAGAGCCATTGTGAAGATTAAAGGCAGTGCATGAATAAAATCATTAAATGCTACATCTGACAACAGTAAATAATAAATATTAGCTATTATCCTGTTTAATATTTTCAGAGGCTGGGAAGAAGAAAGTAACTTCCTCCTTAGGTAGTCCATTTCTATCATTTACTGGTTTTGTAACCTTAGGCAAATTATTTAACCACCATGTGCCTCAGTTTCCCCATTTGTAAAATGGGAATAATACATCATAAGAGTTGTACAGACTTACTGAGTTAATATACTTAAAGCACCTAACAAGCTTTCAATTAATGTTAGCTTAAGTTATTGCTAGTTTTAGTTCCTGAAATGTCTCATCTCATAGACAAAAAAGGAAAAATGAGGATTATGATGGAGACAGTAGTGTATAGAGCAAAAATCTGGTGTCAGAAGACTAGGTTTCAAATGTCTGGAAGTCACTTCTCCTTACGTTTCAGATTCCTCATCTCTTCACAATAAACCTTGCCCTGCTTATTCCTTACGGCTGTTGTGAGGATAAAGATGAGATATAAAACACAACATTCATGAAAATACCGTATAATGCAGTGAAGAGAGATAAAAGGGCTGGGGAAACGGCAGGCTGTGCGGACTTCAGTGTCCTATATAACCAGAAGTGCCTCGGTTGATGTGGCAGGAACTGTTTAATAACAATATTGCTGGCCGAGACCAGTTTGGCTCAATGGATAGAGCGTCGGCTTGGGGACTGAAGGGTCCCGGGTTCGATTCCGGTCAAGGGCATGTACCTTGGTTGCGGGCATATCCCCAGTAGGGGGTATGCAAGAGGCAGCTGATCGATGACTCTAACTCTCTATCTCTCTCCCTTCCTCTCTATACAAAATCAATAAAATATATTTTAAAAAAATAACAATATTGCCATTACCTCTTTACCATCTCAGCACGGCCTATAACATCTAGCACACAGTAGCCACTAGACAATTGTTTGTTGACCGTGTTTATCTATTTCCACAAAAGGATATTCTTCTGCCTTTCCCACTCCTATGTTCAAATCTGTTTGGCAATGTGCGACAAGCAACCACTAACTGCTCAACCCCGGGCTATGTGCAGATAATAAAGAAATGAATAACCCGTAGCTCCTGTTGATTTCATTCATTCATTCATTTAATTTCACACCTAGCAGGACTGAAAAAAGAATACTGGGGTTGGATTACTTTAGAACTAGTGTAAAGGCTTCTCAAAGAGATGATATTTGAGATGGAACTTCTGATTTTCTCATGTCTAAAAACAGAAGTGATACCAATAGCTACTTAGTCTCACAGAAGGGTACCATCTTTAGTGGGAAGAGCACAGGAAATGGGCCCCCAAAAATCTGCCTTCCAATCCTGGTTTTTGCACCCAAGTACTGTATGACTTTAGTAAGTCATGGTCCCTTCTCCCCCTTAAGTGTCCTCTCCTCAGAAAAGCTTTTCCTAATAGAGGGAGTCCTTGTTAGTCTCTATCACAGCCGCCTTTTTCTTTCCACACAATACTAATTCATTTTCTGTGACTTACTGTTTTATCTCCCGTGTCCCTCACTAGAATGGAAGCCCCTAGAGGACAGGGCCTTGCCTATTTTGATCATGGTTCTATCCCCAGCGGCTCGTGGCCAATGCTCAATATTTACTGAATGAATAAATGAATGCATAAAGCAAGCCACTTTTCTATTCGCAGCCTCAGAATCTTCTTTCTTCCAAGAATGGGCACAATTATCCCTATCTCATGGGTCCTAGATGAGGTTAACATAAGACAGTATCTGTGACAGCTCAGCACATCGTTTTTTTGAGAAACGATAAAGTGTAATGAGAAATCAAGATGCACGAGACTTTCAAAATCCTTTGACTCTGCAATAGCGACAACACTTATAGATTGCTAACAGAGTTGACAAGATCGCTTTTTCACCTATCCTCCCAGCTGAGCCGCAACAGCTCCGAAAGCCGGCAATGGTCCACTTGGGGCAAATGAAGTCCCGAGAAGCAAAGGCACCCGTTCCTACAAGGGCTGTTAACGGCGGAGTCCAAGGTGGAACCCCGGCTTCCCGATGCAGGCCACGAATTCCCACCGGCGACGGGTCAGCACTCGGATTGTTATTTCCGGGCCGGCGGCGGGACAATCCGGGGCGGGGCCTGAGGAGCGTCCTCTCCGGCAGCCTCCCCGGGGAGGCCCGCCGGGGCCGGGGCTGTGGTGCAGGGGCCCGGACTCACCTCTTGGCCTCGGCGTCTTCCCCTCGGCTCATGCCCCCTAAGAGCAGGTCCCCAGCCCGCGAGCCGCCACGCTCCGGACACCTCCGTCTCAACGATACCTGCCGCCAGGCCGCGGGTGACGCACTACGCCTGCGCCGCCCGCCGCCCCGCCCCGTGACGTCACGACGCCGGCGCCGCCGCTGTCGCGAGGTCGTGAGAGTGTTTTCCCAATAGCCTGGGTGATCGCTGGTGAGTGGTCTCGGCGCGGCCTGCAGGCGCGCGCGGGCTCCCCGTACCAGAGATCTCTACTCCAGGACTTCTTGGGGTCCTTGGGGGGGGGGGGGCTGATCGTGGTACCCCGATGAGTCCCATGGAGTTCGGCTGTTTGACCTTACCGCGGGGGGCGGGACTGGTAGCATCAGAGCGTGTGTCACAGGTTAGGGGCGGAACACGTGTCATCAGCGAGGAACTTCGAGCATCGGATGTGTGTGGGGGGTCGTTTACCAAATTGTAGCCGCTATTTAGTGGCCCATCACCTAGCAGGAATAGTAGTTTCCAGAACAATACCACGGGTATGGATATCATTATTCCCACGGTGAAGAAACGGAAGCTCAGAGGAAAAAAAAAAAAAAGAAAACTTTACCAGGGTCACGTGGCTCGTCATGAATGGAGCTTAAATTCCAAAGCCTCAACTTTTCACCCTTACTCGGTGCTGTCCCGTGGCGAGACAATTGTCACCTCAGTAGCCCTTCTCTATTTACAAAGCACGTCTGCGGCCCTTATCACATTTGCTCCACAAACGGTATCATCTACACGTTACCGATGAGACTAAGATCATCAGAGGGTTTGACCCATCCAAAGTCACATCTTAGTTAAGTGCTGGTACCGAGACTCACTTCCAGGTCTTCTCTTAAGTTTGGTGCCTTTTTCCTTTCACCACATTCTATTGCATTTCTCAGAATCGTGGAGAGTTTTATAATTGGAAAGGTAGTTGAGGCAAACAAAACCTAGGGATAAGAAGTGACTTAAAACAAGCCACAAGTCAGTAGTAGAGCTGCCACAAGTGCTTTTTGGATACACGGTGGTTATGAATCTAAAGAGGGTGGTTGGCAGAGAATGCTGAGAGAGGAATGTTGTAACCCGGACTTCCTACCTCTTAGGCAAAAGCTCCTCCACCTATGGAAGTGTCTTATCCTTCCTTTGGCTGTGCCAGGGACTTGATTCTGTATATAGATAGTCAGGTCCTATACATAACTTTACATGGCCCTGAATTTAGAGAAAGACATGCCTTGCAATCTAAAGTGAAAAATTGGCAAGCCAGAAGCTAATTCAAGCGGTGTTGTGAAGTAGCGCTCAGGAGCTGCTGTCTGAAGCTTAGATTCTCATTCTGGTGCCAGCATTGTTACCTTGGGCAAGGACTTAATTTTTCTAGACTTTCATTCATGTATCCATTTCATTATTCAGTGTCTTCTGTGTCCAGGGACTGTGCTGGGCACTGGGGATACAGCAGTGAGCAAGACATCCATAGGCCAGTCCTTGTAGTGCTTTTAGGCTCATGGAGGGAATTAGACAATGATCAAATAACTACATGAATTTCAACTGATATTGTTCAAGTAGGTTCTATAGAAAGGCTCAAATGAGTTCATGTATGCAGCACAGCATATAGTTATCACTATTTAAGTAGTAGCTATTGTTTCATTATTAGTGTTACAATTATCTTTTTAAAGGCTCATTAATATCACTATGACAAAGATGCAGAAAGATGCAGTGTACCGTATACTGTAGCTCAAAAGGGATAAATGGTCTACCCAAGGTTACACAGCTAGTTGGTAAGTGTTGGTGGAGGGGAGGGGCAAGGAGAGCTGAGATTCTAGTTCAACACAGCGTCCTAAGCCCAGATGCTTCCTGCCACGGTTTTTCTGAGTATAGGTTAATTTTGTCGGATAATACTTGGGCTCCCATAACAGTTGCTTTTTTTTGACTTCATCTGTGCTGAACTGAGTGTCAATATGCATGTCAAGGTAAAGGGTCCAAGGGACTGCCTTTATTGAACTTCTACTTTGAAATTTCCTGACTTCTGTGCAATTAAAATCTACGCCTTAAGCATTTCAGCAATGTGGTTTATTTATAGAGTTGGCTTCCGGTTCACGTGTACTGGGTCTGCTTTTGGGTGTTGTGTTTTCTGGCAAAGGTTGTTTATTTCTAACCCATTTTGATTTCCTGTTGCTTTCTGGATTGGTATTATGACCTGCAACAGGAACACCAGGAAACCTGTCTTAAATGGAGTAGCCAGATTGAGACCCTGTAGATTAAAAAAAGCAAAAACACACACATTATTATACAGCCATATTTGGATGGCTATGTGGGTTACAAATTGGCTATATTAGGCAAAAACCTAGATATAGAAATCTCAGTTAGAGCCAAACTTTTGTGCACAGTTTTGCTGAAATAGAACAGAGCTATTAGCTCCATGCCCTTAAACAGTGACAAAGTCTTTGAGCCTCAGTTTCTACATATGTAAAATGGAGATTATTATACTTTCTTTGTGGTATTAGTAAAAGGATTTAGTGAAATACTGATAAGCAAGCAACCCAGGCCAGACCTCAATTAATAGTAACTATTGATAATAATCAAAGAAGAGGAAATGCTATTCGTTTGTTGTTGTTTTTTTGTCCAGATCTATTTTTACTGACTTCACACACTGATTACTGGCATCTCTTGCTATTAAAAATCCCATCAGGAGAAGTTATTTGCCTTTGTGCTATTCATTTGCTCTTAAAAAAAAATAATGATATTGATAGCTTTTATTTAGCAGGTGCTGTGTTCCTGGCACTGTGTTAGGTATTTTACATGTATTCACCATCTCATTTTACACTTGATCTTAGCCAAAAGGCCGAGAAGCGATTCACCATCTCATTTTAAGATCAGGATATTTTTCTCATTTTGCAGATGAGGGAAGTTATACCCAGGAAAATGGAGTGAATTGCCCAAAGTTGAAATTTACATCCAGATCTGACTGACTCTGGGCTACCAATACCTCAGTAGTGACATGCAAGATTTTTTTATTATGTCTGACCTTGTCCTGGAAGTCTTTGAAAGGAAAAGTGTCAAAGTGATCAGTAGATACCCTTTGGGGGCTCCAGCTGTCTGTTAGCCACTGGGCCAAGTGTTTTTTGTTGTTGTAGTTTTTTTTTTTTTGTTTTTTTTTTATAATATATTTCTTTATTGATTTCAGAGAGGATTAAAAAAAGCAAAGAGGGAGAGAGAGAGAATCATCAATGATGAAAGAGAAACATTGATTGGCTGCCTCCTGCACGCCCCCTACTGGGGATGGAGCCCACAACCCGGGCATGTGCCCTTGGCCGGAATCGAACCTGGGACCTTTCAGTTCATAGGCTGATGCTCTATCCTCTGAGCCAAACCGACTAGATCTGGGCCAAGTGTTTTATCCACATAATCTCGTTTATTCTTCCTAATCCTAAGAAATAGCTATATCCCCATTTGATAGTTGAGGAAATCAAGGTTCAGTGATATTCAGGGACATTTAGTAAGTAATGGAGCTGGCAGTGGGTTCCAAGTCATTCTGGTTGCAAAACCCATGTTCTTATTCAGGCTGTTGTACTATATCGAAATTTTAGGATGAAATTTTGTTTTGTTTGAATGCAGTATGAGACTGATTTTCAAAGACAGTAGCTTCCAGGTATTTGAGGCTAATTGTCCTTAATTCCTAGATGAATAATAGCCAGATTATTGGCAGAAGCACATTTGTCAGTTTGCTAGGACCGTGTTTTATCCCAGAGGTAGCTGTAGACTCTAGCATATTTCCATAGTCAAAGACCTCAGTCAGAAGTATAATGTGTAACTTGTGTCAGCACAGAAAAGGGTGGCATTTTCCAGAGCTTTAATTCTATAATATGGCAGACCTCAAACCTCAACCATGTTTCAGACTCACATTAAAGTGCATTCTAATTGGTAATCAGTGCATAAGGAACCAAAGAAATTTTTAATTAAGTGCTGTCGTGTGAATTTTCCAGTCGTTTTATGCCTGTTGAAATTGTTTTCTTATTTAAAGTTTTTTTTCCCAGTGCTCTGCCCTCCCTTTTTATAGTAGTGCCTTTTCTCTGATAAGGATTTAATTAGCATCATTTGCTGAACTCTGTGTTCCTTGTGTACTAAGAAGCATTTGGTGCAGTGGAATGAGCATGGGGATTTAGAGTCTTACAGACTGGGCCAGTTACTTCAATCTCTGTGAGCCTTACTTTCGTTGTCCTGTAAAATGGGACTAATCATAATTCCTTGGAGGCTGTTGGGAGGAGGATTAGAGATCATGTATTTAAGTTGCCTAACAAATAGCTGTTTATAGTTGTTTGGTAATTGATACAGATTATTTTCTGAAGTTGTACTAGAGCCTGTTTTATTTAGATCTTCCTTCTGTCTTATTCTTTTTAGATGTTCACACGGACTGCCTTCAGTCATGGCCTTGGGTTTAAGGTGCTTCCGCTTGGTCCATCCTGCCTTTTGCAATTCTCTTGCAGCCTTGACCAGACCTGTTTCGGAAGTTATGCTGAAGACAGTGAGTGGAAGACAGTTTGACCACGGGCAATATGTGGCCTGTGCAGCTGTACCAACCCGTCATTTTGCTACCAAGAAAGCCAAAGGTAGAGACATCTGACCTCCTCACCCCTTATAGTTAGCCCTTGAATTATCATAGCTGGAAGAACATCAGAGATACACTGAATTTCTCTACTTGCCACATGCGGAAATGGTTTCTCACACAATACAATTGATTAGCTTAAAAGGTCACAATGATAGAGAACCTAGGGTCTGTTTTCTCATTATCATGTTGCTCATATGTAACTATAGCTCAGAAATGCCTAATTTCTCTCTAAGTTTAGAATTCAAGGCATAATGCTTGAGGCAGGGATCAACCCATTTTTCTCCTTATAGTAAGATCTATGTTGGAAGTAAAATTAAAACCAGAAGGTTGTTGGGTAAAGGGTATTAGAGCTATGGATTTAGATGGATGATCTTAATGGTTTGTGTCATCCAAGAATGAGACTTTGATATACCCCAGATCTCAGCTTAAATGTCACTTCCTCAGGGAAGCCTTCCCTGACCTCTTAGACTGGGTCAGGTCCCTTGTTACATGCACTCGTGCGCACTGTTATTTTACCTTTGATGTACTTAGCACAGTACTCATTAATTAGTTAATTCATTGTAGGTTCGGTTATTGTTTATTATATGTCTTCCATGCTGGACCCAATGAGGGGAGGGGCTGTATTTTTCTTGGTTAGCATCTAAGAGAGCCTGACATATAGTATGCTTCAAAAAATTTTGTTGAATAAATGAGTGACAGAAAATTGTCAAACAGACCTGCTATTTGAAGTGGTGAGTCAGGGAGAACACTCCCAAGGATGGTGCTAGAAATATGCTGCTAAATATTTTTTTCATTGACTTTCCTTATATGGTTTCATGCAGACCTTTCCTTTTCTGTAAATAGGAAAATTAACAAGTCATTGAAAGATTATTAATGCATAGAAGACTTATGTCCTCTTAATAGTAACAACAGTATTAACTTTGATTTGTATGTTGTATTAAATTTTTTAAAAATTCACCTACATTTAATAATTTAATCCTTATAATTATCCAGTGAAGCACAGGTGTCACCATTTTGCAAATGAGGAGATGTGAGGTACATAAATGAGATATGCACTATATAAAAGCACAGAATCTAGCTCATGGTAGATGTTCAGTAGTCTTTGTTGTAAATGAATTTCAATAAATGTTTTGATTATTTAAGAAATAAATAACTGTAGGATATTATTCAAATATTTTTCTATTTTTCTCCTTCCCTCACTCTTCAAAAATATTTGTATTACTCACCATAGTGGTCAGAATGTATATGAAAAATTGCCATGATGGTTTAGACCAGTGGTCAGCAAACTCATTAGTCAACAGAGCCAAATATCCACAGTACAACGATTGAAATTTCTTTTGAGAGCCAAATTTTTTAAACTTCTTCTAATGCCACCTCTTCAAAATAGACTCGCCCAAGCCATGGTATTTTGTAGAAGAGCCACACTCAAGGGGCCAAAGAGCTGCATGTGGCTCGCGAGCCACAGTTTGCTGACCATGGGCTTAGACAATGCTGTCAGTTTTCTAAAATATAAACCATTGTCACTACCATTGGTGGTGGTAAATGTTTCTGAACTATTGTTCTGTTTGTACCAGCCATCAGATACTTTGCATATCCTTGTTTTAGTATTTATTTTATAATTAATTTATTTCTGTATCTCTGATTAGACTTTATAGAAGCAGCTTAGTGAAAAGTTCATGGGTTTAAAATTAGGAAGATCTGGAACCAAATCTTGGTTTTACTCTTTCATGACCTTATAATATTAGGTAAATCATTTTACCTTTCTCATCTGTTTATTTTTCTGAAAAACAAGGAATTAATTCACTTATGGAGTGTCTGCCATGTGGATAGTGCTCTTTTATGTAATTGAGTTACTTAATTTATATCCATGTAGCATCCTAGCAATATAGATATTATCTCTGTCTTACAAATAAGGAACCTGATGCTCAGAAAAGTAGAGTAACATGTCCAAGGTCATAAGGCTAGTTTGCATTATAGCCAGGATTTTCACCTGGGGTATCACTGTATAAAGTCTGTGCCTTCGCTAGTATCTGAGAAAGTGCTTTTAGCATCATGCTGGGTCTCTAGTAGACACTCAGTAAATGTAGACATTTTTTAATAGGGCAGTGATAATGCTCTGTAATTTTCTAGCACTTGGAATTTTGCCCTGCACATAGTAGGCACTTCCTCACTGATTGTTTATTGTCTCTGTTTACTGTCTGCTATTCTTTTATTCATTGAATGTTGACCTTTTAGCCAAAGGAAAAGGACAGTCCCAAACCAGAGTGAATCTTAACACTGCCTTGGTGGAGGATATAATCAACTTGGAAGAGGTGGAAGAAGAAATGAAGTCTGTGATGGAAGCACTCAAGGATAATTTCAATAAGACTGTCAATATAAGGACCTCACCAGGTTAGTGACTGAACCAGTATTTTGGAGAAGGGTGTGGGGGAAAGATCCTGGCTTTGGCAGAGCTGTGTTTTCGTTCCAGCTTTGACACTTACTAATTGGCGACCATGGACAGTTACTGTCCTTTTCTGGTCCTCCGTTTCCTTGTCTAATTCCTACTTTATAGCTTTGGAGTGCATATTAAAATAAGTGAGGTGGCATATGTAATGGTTCTGACACAGTGACTGGCACATAATTAACATTTATTTATCTATTCTGCAAATATTGGTCTACTATGAACCAGGCATTGAACTGGTACACAGTGGTGAATAAAACAGGCATGCTCTTTGCTCTCATAGTACTCTTAAAAAATTGGAAGTTTTATGATGATGATAATAAACAACTATATAAGTTTGTAGGTATTTAGTCTCATAGTAGCTGATGTCTTTGGTCTGACTTTTTCCAATTTGTCCTATTTGGCCATTCTTATCCCTTACTGGGAACCAACTGGCAGCAAACCTGCCCACCTGAGTCATTTCTGTACCCCTGTGTTTGACCAGGAAGATTACGTTTGGGTTAATAACTTCCTGAAAGTGGCTTTTCTAAGTGGGAAATGTCAGAACTGTCCAGGCGAACTGTTTGCAGATGTGATGGAAGAAGTGAGTTGTCAGCTAATGGTACAAGCAGGCAGGCAGGAAAAATCCAATTGCGGTTAAATTGGCCTTTTGGAAATTGTCATTATCCTAGAGTCAAGCCTGGGACCCCCTCTGAAGATATCTGTGGGAGCTTGGGCGGTTCCCATTCACATCTTGGTTTGGATAGTTCATAAGGAAACCAGAGAATATTTTATGAGCTCGTTCTTAATAAAACCAAGTGAAAAATACACAGCTCCATTTATAAACACCAGCAGAAACATCCTGAGTTCAGCGACAAGATCCAGTGTGAAACCAGAAGACCATTCCGTCATTTGCCAACCTTTAGACTGGGGCATTCTGCTTTTGCTGACAGTAGAGCGTGCCATTCAATCTCTCCCAACTGTTTATTTTAAACTTGCTTATTATTTTAGGTATGAAACTGATAAAGTGCTTTGTTTCCCCTGTGCTTTCTGGCCTGTTAACATTCTGCAGCCGAAACCAGAGAGTAGTTTGAGAGGAGCTCAGGGAGAAATGTGATACTTAAAATTAGCCAGCAAGCTCCACTCTTGTTGAACTTAAAAAGATGATGGCCTGGAAAGAGGGTGGGAGTGTAATTTGTTAAAAGTTAACCTCTGAGAAAATGAGGGGCAGGAATGAGGCTAAGGGAGATTCTCGCTGGGGACAGATTGAGGGAAAAGGATTTGATATATTAAGTCGCTATGGATTTAGAGAATGGGAACACCACGTCGCATACTGGGAAAGCCCATGTTGGGACTTCAGTGGCAGAGGATCTTAGGCAAACCAGGAAGGCTGAATTAAGATCCATTTTCAAAAGGCCCCCCATTGGTATTTCCTCTTTGCTTCTTCCTTTTGAGGGTTATGTTTGTGTAACGTTCTTTATAGAACTTGGGGCCATGAAGAGACTGGATGAAACAGGCTGAATGAAGCACTTTTTTTTTTTTTTTTTTTTTTTCCTAGATTCTTCTATATCATCTTTCATTACTATCTGAACCAGCAGGCACTTTTCTTCTTACACCTTCATCTGTCTACCAACAGTTTCTATCTTAAGGTAGTTGATTGTTTTTAATAGTTGTCTAAACTATGCCTAAACACTTTTATTCGTTTGTCCATTCTTGCTCTCTCTCATTCATCCATGCATATATACATTTATTTATTCATCAAAGCATTACTGAGCACTTGTTTTGTGCTGATTAATAGGTGCTGTCGATACAAAAAAGACATTCTCCCCACTTTCCCATAGCCCTAATTCGAAGGAACAGACTTAATCCAAAATGTGTAAAACTATAGTAAAGCAGAGTGAAGACCTTAGCTAGGAGTTGGTCAGTCCTGGGTTTGAATTCAAGCTCCATTATTAAGAGCTCTTGTTACCTGGAGCAAGTTACTCTCTGTGCCTTCATTTCCTCATCTGTAAAATGGTGGAACTATCTCAGGGTTTTTGTGATAATAAAAACAAATCAATTGTAGACACTTTTAGCACAATTTCTTGCTCATAGTAAGTGTTCAGCAAATATTGGTTATCATTATTATAGATGCATAAGATGTTTGGGAACTCATGAAGGGGTTTTAATACAGTTTAGAAGGGGTTTGTAATACAGTTTAGTAAGTATTCAGCAAATATTGGCTATCATTATTATAGATGCATAAGATGTTTGGGAACTCATGAAGGGGTTTGTTATACAGTTTAGGAGGTCAGATAAGAAACTATTAGAGGTCACAGTTTAGGAGGTCTGAGATTAGAAACTATTAGAAGTCACAGTTCGATTCCTGGTCAGGGCACATGCCTGGATTGTAGGCTCAGTCCCCAGTGGGAGATGTGCAAGAGGCAACCAATGAATGATTCTTTCTAATCATTTATGTTTCTCTCTCTCCCTCTCCCTTCCTCTCTGTAATAAATAAAAATATAAATATATTTAAAAGAAGCTATTATAACTGAGTGTTAAAGAATGATCAGGAGTTATCTGAACAGACAAGGAAAAATATATTATGCTAAAGGTCTTGAGGCAAGAAAGAATAGACTCTATTAGAGAAATTATAAATAGATTAGTTTGGGTAAAATAAAGGAAAGTCAAGAAGTAATAATAATTATCATTTATTGGGCACTTACATATTCTAGGACACAGTTATAAATGCTTTCTGTAAACGCTTTCATTTAATCCTCAAGCAACCCTCTGAGATAAGTACAATTTTATGCCCCATTTAGAGATCAGGACACAGACACAGAAAAGGTTGAAGAGCTTCTCAAGGTCACACAATCATGAGGTGACAGAGTTATTATAGTACTTGAACCCAGGACATTTGTCTTTAGAATGAAGGAAACTTTTGCTATTATACCTGTTGAGCTTTTCTGGAGTAAAGCCAATGGTATCAACCACTTTCTCTTTGTGATGATATTGAATCTGGTTGAGTACTTCTACTTAGATCTTTGGGCCATACTGTGGTACTACATTATTTTAACAATTCTCCATTTGTTTAAAAGACCCCTTCCGTACCACCCCCTTTCCCATGAGTGTTTCTTACTGTTAATAGTATGATCCCCCCCCCCCCCCCCCTTCCCTCTAGTTCTCATTTAAATAGGAAACTAGGGATTTTAAATAATGCCCCTTTTCTATCTGTAACTATGGCTTTATTTGCTTGCCTTATTGGGTTTCTGAAAATTTTGCCCAGGGTTTTCTAGAATTCAGAGGTGGAAGAAGATCAGACCCAGGGTAACAGTTAAGTGTTAATAGTTGGTGTGTGTGTTTGGTTTTTTTCTAAAGAAGATCTAAGTACCAAATCAAGGTGGGTGGTATAAGGAAAGAGTTTCAAACATGGCTGCATGTCAGAATCATGTGGTAATCTTAAAAAAATTATAGGCTCCCCTTAAATCACAGGCTCCCAACCCCTTATAGAATTGGGATCTCTGGGGTGGGGCCAAGGAATCTAAATGAAAAAGCTCCCTGGCGATTCTGACACACAGCCAAATTTGAGTTCCTCGGTAAAAGGGGAAGAACCTTGACTGGAATCAGAATTTAGCATACCTGAGTTTGAGGCTTGGTTTTTTTTTAAGGTGTTGTTGTTGTTGTTGTTGTGTTGACATTATTAAAGACATCCCTTATTTTCTCCCCTCTTCCCTTCCACCTAGCCCCACCCTACTCCAACCCAAGCCTTCAGAAGCTTGGCTCTTGAGTGTTTTTTGTTAGCTCCCAAGTCTCATTTTCTCTCTGTAAAGTGGATTGTAATAAAGTGCTACAGAGTAGTTATAAGAACTAAGGGTTAATAAGAGATATCCTTTTTATGTGCTCATTTTTTTTGGTGCTTACACACTTGATTGTTTATATTTAGCTATAAATCTCACTTTAATCCTGTAAGGTGGTCATTGTTTTAGTGAGTTGGACACCAAGATATAGAGAAGATAAGTAACTTTCCTGAGGTTTCATGGTTAGTAAATGGCAAAGTTGCTGGAGAGGTGACCAAATCTTTCCAGTTTTAGTTATGAAAGTTCTATGTCACAGGAAACCTGTTAGGCCCAGGCACACGAGGATGGTTGGCCACCCGGGTTGCTGATAGGAATTCCAGCCTTGTTTTCTCAATATATCGAAGCTCTTCCCATCACGAGTCACTGCTGTCCTGTGACAGCCCCTGGAATGTCTTGCCACATTGATAAGGGACCCAAACTATTAGTTGAATCTGAAGGAGATAGGGACGTGTGGGGCTTCTAAGGTCCTTCTGAATTCTAAGACTCTATAATTATTATTATTATTTTTTTTTTTTAGGATCCCTTGATCATATCACTGTGGTAACTGCTGATGGAAAGCTGGCTTTAAACCAGATTGGCCAGATCTCCATGAAGTCGCCACAGCTGATCTTGGTGAACATGGCCAGCTTCCCAGAGGTAAGGTGGCCTTCCTCACAAGGTCCTTATTCATCCTGTCTTTTGGAATGGAGGGGGCTGGGTCAAGGCAGCAGGAGGTTTTCCCTCCAGCTTGGGATGAAACAAGAGAGAAGGCATAATGGAGGAAACTTAGGGAGAAGGAAAAGTTTTTTCCTGTTTCTAAATTCCTTTTCTGGTAAACACTGTAGAAGCTAGGTAAATAATTTGACTACTGCAACAGGCCCCATCTATGAAAAACAATAGTGGCGATGTAGGGGTTGGCGCTTGGCCAACGTGGAAGGGACTGTGGTAAACCGGGGAGCCTGTGCCCTGTATGGAGCGAGCAGAAATGTAGGCCTGGCAATCAGCATAACCAGGTATTATGATTTTTATTTTCAGAAGAAGCCAATAATCCAAATTTTTATATACAATTCTCGTTAAATATTGATAACTGATTCATTTTTTTAAGATTGTGAGGAAAAAACCACATTAACGAGCCATTAGTTTGAGACCTCTGCATTAGTGTTTGGAGCAGATCCTGGAGGTCACATTCCTTTCACACTGGACTGACCATTGCAGAATATTGCCCAGAGCACAGTGCTTCGCAGCCTGGAAGGTGGGCTGCATTATTGTTGGCACCTTGGGGCTGTGATATTAAGTCTAGTTGAGGTAGAGAAGGGCTTCTTAGTGGTCCAGTGGGAATGGACCTGGATTTGAAGTCCTGGAGGAACTGGAACTCAGGCCCGTCTCCATTGCTAGCTGGTGTTTGACCTTGCTCCACTCTCGGGGCTTCCATTTCCTCATTTGTTGTTAATGTGAGGTGAAGGAATCTGAAGTCCCTTCCTGTTCCAATGGTCTGTTTCAGTGCGTCTGCCCCAAAGACATAGACCAAAGGTGAGCATGCTAGATTTGGCAGACTGGATTAGAGGTATAGAGTAAGAAAAAAGCCCTTGCTGTGAACACGTTCAGATCATGTGTTTTTTTTTAATATCCCCCCCCCCCTTCCCTTCTCCATACTGCAGCCAGAGTGGACTATTTAAAATATACCTTGGATTATGTTGTTCCCATGCTTTAAATGTATTAATGTCCCATGCTTTAAATGTATTAATTGAACAAGTAGTATTTTTTTTAATTACTTTATTTACTACGGTATCACATATTTGTCCTCATCCCCCCCATTCAAGTAGTATTAAAGAGAAAGATTACTGTGGCTTCGAATGCTTTGTATGATGTGCCCCTACCTATGCCTCCCAGTGTCTCCAGTCTTGTGCCACTGTCATCCTAACACACTGCTCTAGCTACATTGGTCTTTCAGCTCCTTAGACACAACACACCCTTTGCATCCTCAGGGCTGTACAGGGGCTCTGCCCTTTGCTTGGAACATTATTGCCTGGCTAATTGCTCTATATCTATCTGTCTATCTATATTGATTTATTTTACACATTTATTTTTATATATTGGGATGACATTGGTTGGGTCACAGCTTAAATGTCACTTTCTCAGGGAAACCTTCCCTAATCTACCCAATCTAAACCCCTCCTCCACACTAAGCTCTCTTATAGAGCACGGTTCTTTTTCTTTATTGCACTTACCATTATTAATAATTATATATTTGTATCTTTATTTCCCATCTCATATTCACTAGATTGTAAGCTTGGAATGCAAAAAATCTAACTTACTCATTGTGTTGAGCACCTAAAACGGTGCCTGGCACATACATGGAAGCACTCGGTAGATTTTCCACAAATGGATGAATACTTGTTATTAGGTTGATGGAAGGGTGGCTCTCATTCCTTGTGTTACTGAGGAGCTAGAAGTGGACTAAAAGGGAACAGTCAACTCTTTGCCTTCGTGGCCCCCTCTGAACTGCGAGGCCTCTCTGCCTGGTTCACCTACTCCCATTGGCACTGCAGGCCAATTCAGGGAACAGACTCCTAATTACACAGCTTGAAGACCTCATCAGGCAGATTGCTTTTCAGAGCCAGCCACTTCTGTTATTAAATGGCAAATAGCATTCACAGAAGAAGCGTGATTGGCCACCAGCGCATCTTATGAGGTAGGAGGAGGTATTAACAGCTTAATTTTTTTCTTAGGAAGTTGGAGCATATCTTCATTTTTCAACCAAAGCATCTCTGCCTTCCAACTTGAAATTCTGTGGGTTTTAAAGGAGAAAAACAAAACAAAACAAAAACCCACAAAAAACTTTTACAAGCATCTCAGTCGAGAGGTTCTTTACAAGGACAGAATGAGGAAGTGTGAGTTACATTGTCTTTTGAATTCCTTTATCTCATCTGGTGTATATATTAAACAAATAGTCTTAACTAAACATTTCCTTCCTTCATTTTAGAAGCTGTCCATTGAGTACCAGGTTCAGAGCTTCAAAATGCTGAGCTAATCCTCTCTGTGTTTATGTAATTCCTTTCTGTTTCACATGCGGTTGGCTTTCTTTCCAAACCTGCGCTTTTCTGTGTCGTGCTGTAGTGACACGATGCAGATTTACATGCATAATCCTTTCAAATGCATTGGAGACAGAAAACTGTGTTGCATTTGTTTAACATGTGTCCCGCTTGATAAATGATACACATAGTTGCTGCTTTCCATAAACTTGCCTGCAGCTAGAGTTAATGATGGGAAAGAAAAGAAGGGAGTAAAAAAACCACAGCATGATTTGAAGAAAGCAAATGAAAAAAAAAAAAAATCTGTAGGCTCCATTATTTCCCTTGTGGTAGGAAGAAAGCCAATGTATATTGAGTGTCTACGGTGTTGCTGGGCACTACTTTCTCATGTTTTGTTTTTATGTGATCATGTTTTGTTTTTAAGTATTCTCTAAAATTAAGCATTATTTGTTCCATTTTATAGATGAGAAAACTGAGGCTCAGAGAGGTACAATATCTCCCTGAGGTTCACACCATTGTGACAGAACCAAGATTTGAACATAGATCTGTTTTTCACTAAAGCCTATGCTCCTTGAACTATTCATTCATTAATTCAACAAATACTTTTGAGTTCCTGTAAGTTATTAAGTTTTAGTTGAGGTGCTGGAATTAACCCCCTGAGGATAAAAATAGACAAGGTTCCTGCTTTCATAGACCTTACATTCTAGATACTCCTTGGGATATAAAGGAAATGGAAGGCCAGTCCCTGAAAAGGCACTAACAAAGTTGACTTGTTGACCTGTCCAAAAAAGTTCTATCATCTTGTCCTTTAGCATAGATGAACTTAAGAATGGCAATAGCAGGCATTGCTAATTGATGACAGCATTCCTTCCTGCCTGGTCCTAGATTGGATCTGTAATCTTTACAGAGTTCTCCAAGGAGCCACAATCATTTGGTCAGTGTTGCCATTTGAGAACTGTTGAAATGCCTTGGGGTACTGGGGAGCATCCCTTCAGGGAGGGGACAAAAGCTAAGATACAAGATGGAAATGCGATAGAAATATATGCCTTTTCATCTGAGCCCTGAGTAGTTCAGAAGTCATGTTGGGAAAATGACTGTAATTCCCTGAGTTTCTGCATCCTACCACATCAAACCAAAATATACATATTTAGAATGTTTTAGAACTACCTCTTCTAGTAGGTTTCTTTTCAAAATGAAACCTGATTTGCATTTTTCTGCATATGAAAGAACACAGAACAAGTAAAGTACAAAATAAGGATTTAGAGGGGTTATATATAAGAAGTAAAAGTAAGGAGATGAGTTTGTCTAATAGATCTGAGTCCGATTATTAGTATACTCATGCAACAAACTTTTATTGAGCACTTGCCATGTGCCTGGCACTGAGCCTTGTACTGGGAAGATGTAGATATTAACCCTTTGCACTCCGCTGTCCCCTCTCAGGGGACATCAGAATTCTAGCATATCACTCGGATGTCCCCTCTCAGGGGGGACATTGCAGTTTATTAGTGATTACGGGGAATTGAGTTAATTCAACGCACGTTTCCGCCGCAAGTAGCATCGAGTAGCTGGTAGCCAATGTCCAGAATGGTTCGGAGTGCAAAGGGTTAAGACATAGTGATGGGCCAGCTGGGTATCAGCTGTAGGTGTTCTGGTGCCCACAGGAGAAGGCTGTGTGGAAACACTGGGGTCCTACTGTGAAAGGGAGGGGCTGGTGGCAGGATATTACCACAGTGAGTTGTCATTCAGTGAGAAGCATCAGAAAAGGAGGATTGGGAGACTTGAGATCAGGCTATCTCTTCAAAGTGAAGATTCTCCCTTTATTGTTAACTGTAGAAAATCTTTTTCATTTTATTAAGAAAATGGCTATTCTTTTGCAGAGAGATATTTATTTCTTTATCTAGCTCATTTAAGACACCAGACCTAATTCCAAATTATTTTGGGCTATGTAAAAAAAACTCAAATCCCCTGTGCTACTAAATACTTGAGCTGGGTGATCTGGAAGAAAATATGGACAGAATGGCATCACTGGACTGAGAGTTGAGGAACCTACTGTCTCCTCTTAACCTCTGCCAGTAAGTGGAAGTGTGATGGGTAAGGTCCTCACTGTACAGCCCTCGGCTCTCCGGAAGACTGTATGTGCTTAGAGATGTGACTTTATCCAACAGGTCCTACATACAAGAGGAAGGGACTTTACTTGGCTGTCACAGATCCCTTCCAGCTCCAATAGTCACAGGTACCATTTTAAGAATTTACTGTTTTAGCCCGGTCAGCACGGCTCAGTGGATGAGAATTGACCTATGAACCAGAAGGCCACAGTTCAATTCCTGGTCAGGGTACATGCCTGGTGGCAGACTCGATCCTATTGGGGGCGTGCAGGAGGCAGCCAAATCAGTGATTCTCTCTCATCATGGATGTTTCTGTCTTTCCCTTTATTGATGTTTCAATAAAAATATATTCTTTAAAAAAGAGAATTTACTGTTTTAAGCAATAGCCACACTGTTAGATTCTGTGTACAGCCTCCCAAGGAAATGATTCACCTGATGTGAAAGTTATGGTTTATCTTTTGACCTTATGGTTACCCCTCGTGTCTCTGTAGAATTTAAGCCATTTAAATATGAAATGGGTAAGTTTTTCAGACACTTCCTCAAAAACCAAAGAAACCCTGAAAATATCAAATAGGTGTGACACAAACCCCATTCTTTGAACCAGAAGTCGAGGAAGGAACTCCAGGTTGAGAATTGGTCCTGTGAGTCCAAGTGATGTGGATTGGCTCTGGTCAAACCTAAAATTCTTTGGCAAATGTCAGAGGCCTCATTTTCATGAATTTCACACCGTCATGCCTATAAAGTATCTCTCTTCCACACTGCTGTCTTTTACCTTTTAGGATTGCATGCCAGGTGTGGTTATATTATTGCTTGAGGTGAGGTGAGGCGCTTTGGGAAATCAGTACCAGTGCACCACCTGGCCCATTAGCAGGAAGTCGGAAAAGACACTGGAGGGTGACAGGGAGGGTGACAGGCAGGACAGCAGTGCATCGGCTAAGTGATGACATCCACTCAGCCTTGTTTGGGGGTTTTGTGCATCCCTACCTTTATATGCTAAATATATGTAATAACTCTCCTAGGTGTTACTGTGGGCCAGATAAACAAGATGTATTGCTCATGCTACTTCATTCAGTCCTCTCTCAGGGGTACATACCACATGGTCTCAGGTTACAGAATGGAGGCCCACAGAGGTCAGGCTTGTTGCCCAGGGTCACATGGTAAGCAGAGCTGGGATTTGAACTGAGCTCTTTCTGACTCCAAAGCCCATGCGTGCAGCCAGTATATCATTCTCTCTTTCCTGGAGCACACCCACTGGGAGCCATTGTTCATTCCAAAGCATGAGTGAGGTCACTGTGTGTGTAGATACGAACGAGTTAAATTTATTTACTCATTCCAAGTCGGCACGGGTATATTTTGAGTGTAAAATGTCAACTGGAATTTTTAATGTATAAAATCTTTCATCTGTCTTTACACCAATCTTTGTACAGACCAGCCCCCCTCCCTTGAGGATTTATTGTGGTTTTGATCTGTCTTGCCTCAAACCATTGAAATCTTTTCAAAGAAGCAGAGCTGTTTTCTTTTTATTTTTTCCTTCTCTTTGCTTTTTTTCCTCCCGCAGTACACTGGTACCAGGAGTGGACATAGTTTGCTATTCTGCTTGATCAAAGCACTCTACACCAATGTAACTTCCTGATCTTACTGGTAACAGAACTAAATGTTTCCATGTTCTGCCAAGATGGGTTGCCAGTTATCGACAGAGGGCTTGCATCTGGTAATAATTATTTACTAATTCTGTTTACCTTTTGATCTGGTTTTCAGTGTACAGCTGCAGCTATCAAGGCTATAAGAGAAAGTGGAATGAATCTGAACCCAGAAGTGGAAGGGACGCTAATTCGGGTACCCATTCCCAAGTAAGTTTGGCAGAAATTTACATATTTTGATGTTGGTTTCCTTGGGGAAGCCAACACCCATGATACTGTTAGGCTGATAGCATAACAGTACTTCTTTATCTGAACTTCTCCTGGCAAATTCCCACATCTTTTAAGGTCCAGTTTTACTGATTCAGAAACATTTATTGAGTACCTGCTGTGTACGAGGGCTGGAGATGCAGCAGTCAACCTGATAAAGTCCTTGACCTCATGTACTTTACACTCTGGTGGGGAAGATGGGACACATACGCAGATAAAGGCATTCCAGACAATGAGATGCTATGAGGAAAGAAAAGGCAGTGAGACCGGAGCAGGGAGTGACTTGCTGAGGCGATGGTGGCAGGGACAGTGTTGGCCTGGAGGCCTATTTAAGGAAATACCATTTGCTGAGAGCTGAATGACGAGGAAGAGTCAGCCTGGGGAGTGGGAACTGCCTGCACAAAAGCCCTCGTCAGAAAAGACCTCCATACTTGTACTCTCAAATCCATGTTCCTTGAAGAGTTATTTTTACCTTAGTCCTTGCCTGTTGAAGAATTTTAGGCATAAGAATAGGATATTGTTAATTATATAAACATATAGAACTTAGATTATTAAATGAAAAAAATGTACAGCAGTCCCCCTTATCTGTGGTTTTGCTTTCAGCAGTTTTTACCTGTGTTTAGCTGTAACCAAAAAATATTACATGGAAAATACCAGAAATAAAGAATTCATAAGTTTAAAATTGTGTGCCATTCTGAGTGGTGTGATGAAATCGTAAGCCGTCCTGCTCCATCACCTTGAATATGAATCATTCCTTTGCCCAGCATATCAACGCTGTGTATGCTAACCCCCCATTAGTTACTAAGTGGCTGTCTGGGTTATCAGATCAACCACTTGTGGTATTGAAGTCTTGTGTTCAAGTCATCTTTATTTCACTTAATAATAGTCCCAAAATGCAAGAGTAAAGATGCTGGCAGTTTGGACATGCCAAAGAGAAGCTGTAACATTCTCAAGGAGAACTGTGGGGAGGCAGCTGCTGTAGTCCGGGTAAGATATGGATTTTCTGCCTGCTCAGATTCCGTAGCAGGCAGAATTAATTTCTCCTCTGTAATCTCATTTCTTAACTAGCCTCTTTTTTTTAAAGTCCTTACCTGAGGAGTGAAGATACATTTTCCATTAATCCTAGAGAGAATGGAAGGAAGGGGCGGGAGAGAGAGAGAGAGAGAGAAACATCACTGTGACAGAGACACATTTATTGGTTGCCTCTTATCAGCAATCTAGAATGAGTGGGAAGGGGGCAGGATTGGACCTGCAACTCAGAAATCCAACCTATAACCATCCAGTGCACAGGCTGGCACTCTAACCATTGAACACACCAGCCAGGGCATAATTAATTAATTATCTTTAAGTCCCTATTCCTACATAGTGCATTAAATTAATTCATTTCATTATTCAGCAAATATTTATTAAGCACTAACTACATGCCAGGTACTTTCCTAGCTGTCGAGATAAAGTATTAAAGAAAACAAACAACAAAAAGCCCCTGTCCTTACAGGTGAGTAGACATAGTAAACAGAAAACAAAGAAATACATACGGTAATATCAAGTGATGGTAAGGACTGTGAAGAAAAGCAAGCAGGATGAGTTAGAGGGGGTTGGGGTTTTATTGTGGGTCGGGAGGTGCAGGAAGGAAGTGGCAATTGAGTGGAGACCTAAGTGAAATGAATGAATGAAGCTTTCAAATAACTAGACGGGGAAAGGAGTGTAACACTAGTTGAGTGTCTTTCTGTGCCACGTATTACCCTGTATTCTTTTACACATGTTGCCTCATTGTCATACCATCCCCTCCAGGTAGTTTTTTCCGCCTCCAGATATGGAAAGTTAAACTCAGAGAGGTAAAGTAACATTCCCTCCAAGTTCACACTGCTAATGATGTAGCTGGACCTAAACCGGGTTTAGTTAGTTCCAAAGCCTCCAGATGCACCCAGGTTAGCAACAAGAATTAATCCCCAAACTGAGAGTCCAGGAACTTTTTCCTACTTTATGACCAGAAAATGGCAATCTTATTTCATTGTGTTCTCGGTACTCTGTGAGAATTAACACTCTGCCTTGAAATCAAATGAATTGGAAGTGATATAGCTTAGTATTTAAGTATCAGGTAGACCTGAGTTCAAGTCCAGGACCCTATTTGCTTGGTTAATTCATTGATTTGCTCAGCCAATTTTCTGTTAATGTGCCATATGCCAGGCTTGGTGTTGAATGCTGGGAACCTAATGTTTGCCTTCATGGAGCTCACAGACTATGCTGGGCCCTTTGTTTATTTTGCCTGCAGCTTACTTGTGGAGTGTACTATTACCCACTGTTTTTAGATGAAAACACTTAAATTAAGGGAAAGGGACTTGCCCAAGATCACATGGTCAGTAAGTGGCAGTCAGGATTTGAACCCCAAGTTTTTCTGTTACCAGCGTGCCGGCTAAGTATACTCATGGACATTAGAAGTGAGATTTGCAAGTGGAATGATAGTAGTCAGCAGGTTTATTTTTTAGTTCTTGCTCTCCTATCTGAGAAATCTTTGAAGAGTCACTTAACTTTCCTGAGCCTCAGTTTGCTCCTACACTAGACCCCTCTTGGAGCTCCAAAATTCTGCCAGGCTAGGAACTTATGCTGCCGAATACTCATTGCTGGCTTCAGTTCCCCTTCGAGTGGCCTGATTGTGTATCATGTTTTCTTTTCAAAGATCTAGTTCACATAACGCGCACCTCTGCAGCCCCACAGGACTTAACAGGATTTAGCGATCACTCTTGGTGCAGTGTATATTAGTTTGAAGGATCAGTGAGTTTAACTTGAATTTCCAAAGACATGGGGCTCTGTTACATTATATTTTACATTATTTTATGTTAACTAATGGGCGTAATCCAAGAGAAAGTTGACGGACCAAAACCGTCTGCTCCTGCAAACCTCATTTTTTATATACTTTCTTCCCTTTGACAAGGTGGTAAGGTCATGAGGCCCCTTACTGAATTGTACTCTTGGTAGTTTTCCAGATAAAAAATGAATGATCTGTTCTTTATTATGGAGACTGCGTCATATGAGAGGATAAAGGTTGATTTAGATGAAAAAAGGACCAAGGTTTATATTTGGTTTTGGCAGTGACTTCCATTTGATTCTGGGCATGTCACCCTAGCAGCTTGCTGCTTTCGAGTGCCTTATTTGTAAAATAAGTAAAGTAATAATGATAGGTAGAGATTTGGTAGGATTAGTAGAGAAAATAGATTAAGTAGTATGATCTCCTTAGAGGAAAGAAGCTATATAAATATAATTTTATTATTTTAGTATACTTTGAATTTTAGATATATACACACACAGGGTAGAGCAAAAGTAGGTTTACAGTTGTGAGTACACGGAACAAAGTTTATTTTTATGTTATTATTTATTTATTATTGTATTATTTTCCATAGGAAAAACTGTAAACTACTTTTCCCCCTATCCTGTATATATATATATATATATATATATATATATATATATATATATATATATACACACACACACACACTTTAGGAGGAAAGGAAGGAGTGAGGAAGGGAATATGTTGAGTACCTACTATGTGTTAAGAACCATGCTTCCATGTACAGGGAAAGTGGAAGAGTACAGTTAAATTTGTGTTGGTATCACAGAAGCATGAAATTGAGTTCTGGCTTGCCTTTTTATCTGTGTGATAATGGCAACGTCTCCACCTCTCTGAATCTCAGAGAATTCATCCGCAAAATACTTATAGGTCTTGCCTTACATGGTTATTGGGAGATTTCAGTGAGATGATGTGTTGTTTTTTGAGATAATGATTTTAATGTGTAGCAAGCACCCAGTTAATGGTAGCAAATGTTCTTTCATTCCCTTTCATATATAAGCAGGATCATCATTCCCTTTTAAGGAAGAGGAAACTTAAGATTTAGAGAGGTGAGGCATTGACTGGGTCACAGAGCTGGAAGCTGGCAAAGCTATACGGAGGAAACGAACACACCAAAGCTGATGTCAGGGGTTCGGGAGGTGGAAGGGAATCTGAAGCATAACTTCCTAGGATCAGTTTCTGATTATAACATGTTGAGTTTAGTTCTAGGAAAATTTGCCTTTCCTGCTTGATCATGATTCTTCTCTGCCTAATGACAGCCTGCAAGTTTGTTTTTTTGCCTTAATTCTGGATGCCCAGTGCTAAGTTTTATTTTTAGTTGCAGCAGATCTCAGTTAGTGCTTCACCCTCATTACACTCCTTCAGTTCTTATCGTCTCATTTAAAATTAGTTGACTGAGTAAGTGACTCTCACTGTAATCTGCCTCTGATCCTTTGGGGAAGTATGTGGAAGATAATCCTAAATCAATAAGAGGTCAGACTTGGCTCAAAATGGTCCTTGTCACTCAGTCCTCTTCGCAGCCCTGGGGGTGCAGCTGTGTGTGGCTGCGCGGGTTTTTCTCCTGGCTCTCAGCCAAAGGCCAGCGAGCCTCAAGCTCAGGTCATGTCCGTACCCACTGACCATGTGTATAGCTTTTGTTTTCTTCCCTGGCCAGTCTTCTTTCACTTAGAGAAGTCAGTCAACTGGATAGGTCACTTGAACATCCCCTTTAGCCAAGATTCACTGAAATCCATGTAATCAAATTTGGGTGCTATTAGCCAGCTACACTACAGCTGTAGTGCTTGGAGGTGCTGTGCTGAGAGCTTTACAGTTTCTCCCCAAATTCTCACAGCACTATGATGTTAGAAGACTATTCTTATGCCCATTTGACTGATCAGAGACCTGCAAAAATTCAAATCCTACAGAAAAACAAAACTTTTCACTCTTCCCCAAGTATTCTTCCCAGAAGTAGCTGTTGGTAAGTTTAGTATATATCCTTCCAGATTTAAACAAAACAAAAAATGCATATACAATATATAATTTACATAAATAGGATTAAAGATCTCAGTTCCACAATTTGCTTTTTTGCATAACATGTCTAGTGTACACCTTTTCA